GGAAGCCAAACAAAGGTTATAAAGGTTATATATCCTTATGTAAGGTTATATTGTGTGCGCTTGTGGGTTTTTTTAATGTGTGTGTGTGTGTGTGTGTGTGTGGTCTTAGAAGAAAAAAGTAAGTTCCGACTGTATGTTTATGCAATTTTACTTCAGGATTAGGTGACAGAAATTAAGTTGACAGTCCATAGGTGATATAAGGTTACTGTAATGAGTATCATTAGTGAGCTTGCATCACACCTGCACTGTGTAAAACAACAGGCCAAGCCTCAGAGGAGTGGCCTGACTACAGCCAGTCTCTAAACAACTAATTATCTCACAGTAGCTACTATGAAGGACTTTTGGGATGTTTTCCCATGTATCACTGTCATTAGCAGGATCCGTGAACCTGATCTAATGTAGTATATCACAACAAACATCCAGTACCTTTGGGTCTTCACACCAGAGAGAAGAGAGAGACGGAGAGAATTTATTATTTCAATGGCCTCAACAATGTGTCACTAAGTTGTAACTATCACAGACGTAACTGTCAAAAGGATAAAGTGGTCAACAAGTCATTTTGTCTTTTGGCCTAAGAGAGCAATTAAACTTCAGCTTGGGTACCCTTCAACAACAACAATACAATTAGTGTCTATAATATCTGTTTACTTTGACTATGTGGCTCAGTAAAACAAGTACTTATAAAAAAGTATAAAAAGTTTAACTAATCAAGTAAATCTTACTGCTGTCATCATTGGTCATATAATGTTATTAAATATTATGACAATATTATAAACCTAAAACAAGCAGTGGAAAGGAGCAGAATTTAAAACCATTGCGTATATTTTTATTGCTAGAGGTAAAGTGGCCTAACTGCATAATTTTGCACTGAGGCAGCAAACCAAAACATGCTGTTTTGATAAATCTGTCTATAAACAACTGAAAATAATTCATCAGATATTATTCTACATGCACATATTTTTAAAAAAAAATACAGTTAATTAAATTTAAACATGAATAAAAATGGTTTTAGTCTTAGCAGTAGCTAGCACTGTGCCATGTGCAGATTTGGCACATGAAAGAATTGCCCCAGGTCAAAGGTCAAATCATCTGCTACTCCTCAATTTTAATCAACACTGAGGTATTTTGTGTCACAAAATAAGTAAATACTTAATAAAGGGACAGTGTAATAACCAAAAATTTGGTTTGCTGCCTAAGAGCAACACCATGCTAACAGTTGACTGTGGAGAATTTGGTAGTGACAAAACTTCATGACTGGACGTGTTGCACAGGTGTCATTCTATCAGCCATGTTGGCATTCCATGAGCTCCTGATATTGCCCGTGCCTGGGTGTTTGATTTTATACACCTGTGGACATGTAAGTGACTGGAACACCTGAATTCAATGATATGGATTGGTGAGATAATTATTTTGGCAATATAGTGTTTACACTACTAAAAAAAAAAGACAAAGGAAAAGAAATCATGCTGGATCTCTGTACTGATATGGACTGGGTAATGTTTTAGGAAAAGAACACATTTGGTGGAAATGAAAATTATCAATATACAAAGGGCTGAATGCAGACTAATCCATTTTGTCCATTTTTAAAAGTTCATTGGAACATTGTAGTAACTCAGGCATGTATACAACTACCACTTGCATGCATGCCTGATAATGTTGACATATACACATAATGAGACGAGGTTTAGTGTCCTGTGGGAAGGAGGTGAGATCTCCTTC